GCTCCAAATACTTCATTTTTCAAACACAGAAACATAAATCCCTGCTCCAATAACATACAAGCCAGTGCTTCTATATTGGCAAATAAATGCTAAAATGTATTTGTGTGAAAATGAGATGAACACTTTCGGTGTGCTGCTTCACACTTTACTTGCAGGTACTTGCAAATTTATTAACAAGGACTCATCCTATAGTAAAAAATCATGCTAAAATATACAATTATTACTAGTGCACCTTGTTGTGTTTCTTGACATGATGGTTGCCTGTAACTATGCCTGTAATAATTGTACTTCAATAAAATATTTGATTTTGTTATTCCACACAAAACTTTGTAATGTTTTTTCATTGTTTTGAATCCATTCTAAAGGTTTTTTTGTAATGGACCTTTCTTACTTTTTTCTAGAATGTTTGATCTCACTTATGATGATTTGACATTATAATCCCTACATTAACCATGATGGCAACACAGACATTAAGTATAGACAACTATCAAGATGGACAACAAGTGAGCACATTTTTCCTCCTCTACAGTCTGAATGCTATTAGCAAGTGAAAAATTATCTTTTTTTTTTTTTTTTTTTTTTAATCTGCATCTGATTAAATGTGTGGCTTCTAGTCTGTCAGATATGATGGTGCATCTTTGAACAGTGATGCATCTAACAATTTTAATGTGATTTTAGGAATTCATTGCAATTTAATGTTAATTTGGGGCAAGTCATGTCATAGATCTGCAGTTTGAAGATCCATTTTCCACTCTGCATGCCAACCTATATAGTAGGTAGAGTGGCCACTGATGCATCCCTAAAATATCGGCTATCCCCTTGGTGAGAGGTGGGTGCCATCGGCCAATCAGTGGTGAGGGGTGGGGCTGTCACCTCCTTGGCCAATCAGCAGCAAGGAACAGGGCCACCACCTCCCTCCTTCCCTTCCTCCCTCCTTTGCTGGCTTGGAACGCCTCTCCTGGCTGTGCAGCACTCTACCTCTAGGCACAGAATCATGAGGACAAATGATTGACATTTATTTCCTCCAGTGAGCTGAAAAACAGGACTTCTTGCTGTCTGCTCTTCATTCAGAAATGGGCAGAGGACAAAGGGTTTAAAAATGGCAGTCTGGGATAAAACAGGACCAGTGGCCACCCTAATAGTAGGTACGAGTGCTTTTTGTTAGCAGAGGCAACAGTGAACTGTCAGAAGTGCAGCTGAGAGTCATTATTCCCCTTTTAGAGGGCTATCTGCCTGAACGTGATCTACTCTGTCTTCAAAAATAGTTCTCTAGATTGGCCTGTGTTTTGCTTTTTTAACCATTCTTATTCTCTTTACACAAACATACACACACTGTATCCCTTCCCACCCCCAGTCATTTCATAAAAGTTATGGAGCGGTGCCTTGAGTACAAAAAGATTGAGAATCACATCACCTATGAATGTGTATTGTGGATAATAAAAAGGAACATCTTGTGTCACTACAGCTCACTGTGACCCACACACCAACCTGCAAGAGATTTTAGAATTCTTTTTTTTTTTTCTTTTTTTCCTTTTTCTCCATTTGTATTTT